GATGATGGAGTTTTTAATCATGAAGCCAACTCCAGAAAGATGATTTTCAGTTTTGGGTTTGCCTGACCAGTAGAGTGTATAGCCAGCACCATGTTCTTTGAGGCTACCTTCCTCATGAAGGTGAACTTCACTGAGTGCAGCGATATCGATGTTAAGACGTGACAATTCATAGGCAATTAGCGCAGAACGGCGCTCAGGACGCCCACTGTTCACTGTATCAGGCATGGTTCTGATGTTCCAACATGCGAGTGTCAATCTGGACACACCTTTGGAGGCAGGTGTATGCCTTTGTCTCTTTGTTTTTAGTTGACCGCAATAGAAGATGCCTGTTGGCCGCGGCTAGCCAACCAGGTGGAGGGGGAGATGAGCTTTGGTTAGGCCACCTTTTCTAGGCCTCTCTCCATATGGAGCAAGCAGTGCTGTCCTTGAAAAAGGCTGCTTGGTCATTCAGGATGCTGCCGAACAAGACTGTCATCTCCTGGGTCAGACTTGAGCAACCAATGTCCTGAACCGCCTGCATGCAGGGTTGGGTCTGCAACTTCCAGTGCACCTTATCACCTGCTGTTTCGTCCTTCGCCTGTCGCTACAGGGCTTTGCAAGTGTGGGTAAACCCTTCGGGCCTGCGCAGTGGATTTATTTTAGGTGAGGCACAGCATGCGCAGATCTGGCCTCACCCTTTACACCTGAGGTTTATCTGCCAGGGCCTAGCGAGCTTGGACGGTGACAGCAAAGTCCTCAGGTCGTAGGTTTAATTAGATTATCCTTCTCTTAAATGGATGGCCTTACAGGGCTACACAAGCTCCATCTGCCCGGGTTTGAAGTTGGAGTTGTCCTTCTCCTAGGATGGTTGCCCGAAGGCTAGTGAGCCCATCCTGCCCATGGACACACTTTGTCTGACCCTTCATTTGAGAGCTGACTGGCATAGGAGACCCTACCGGAAGCATAAGCTACCACCAGCATAACTCCCAACTTCACAAGGGCACGCAAGCTCTTTCCCCACGACAAGGGGGTGTCCGTGAAAGAGTCAAGTTTATGAAATAGTCTTTACTAAATGTGTAGGTTTGGGTTTATTCATGGCTTATATTTAATTTTTTTATAGTTTGTGCTCTTAAAATACAATAGAACTATTGTTCCATGAAGAGTTATTAACCTTCCAAGAGTTATATTGTCACAATTCAGAAAAGAATGTGTTAGAAACTTGACAAACAAGTGTCTTAATAGGAAACTACTACTTATGATCATGCAGGATCACATTCGTGTTTGGTGCTACTGAAAACAGAGTAATAGTGCTAGGTAACAGTAAATAGTTACTAGAATGGCTTTCATTATAATAGATGAAATTGCCTCAGAAATTCTTTGGCATAACACCATTCTCTGTATCCCAAGCAGTATTTGTTAGATTTTCCTAAATTAGATGATGTGGGTTGACCCCAGTCAGCAGCTAAGTGCCCACACAGCCACTTGCTCTGGGTGGGAGGAAGAGAATAGAAAGAGCAAAAGCAGGAAAACTCACATATTAAGATAGAAGTTTAGGTGAAGTGAAGCAAAGCTGTACATTCAAGCAAAGCAAAAGGAGGAATTACTTCGCTACTCGCCATCAGCAGGCAGATGTTCAACCCCTTCTGGAAAGCAGGGCCTCTGCATGTGTAATGCTTACTTGGAAAGATGAATGCCGTAACCTCAAGGGTCTCCCCTTCCTCCTTCTTTTCTCTGAGCATTTATTGCTGAGCACGACATATGGAATATCTCTGATCAGTTGATGTCACCTGTCTTGGCTGTGTCCCCTCCCAACTTCTCAGTCACGTCAGCTTACTTGCTGATGGAGAGTGGGCAGAGTGGGAAGAAAAAGCAAAAATCTGGTCACTGTGCCAGCACTGCACAGTAGCCAAAACAGTGGTACATTATCAACACTGATTCTGTAAAAAATACAAAACACAGGGGGTGCTGTAAAAAAAAAATTAACTCTAGCCAGTCTAGACTTTTGTATGAACTAGAAGTTTGTAAAAGGATGCAATTTTTCAATAAACTGGGACAACTTTATGATTTAAATGCTTTTTGAAAGTTAGGAGTTTAATCTGTCTGTGATGGATGAGATGTCAAAGCTATGTGTGTTGAAGTTGCCAGTGTAACACGTGGCTCCTGTATAGTTTAAAAAAATTACTCTGTTGTAAAACATGAGTGTGTATATATATATCAGCTTACCACTGGAGTCCTAGCAATGTTTTGTGCAAGGAGCTAAAAGGAAAATATCCTTATATAAAGTACTTGTTCTTCCAGGTAAACATTACACAGTGTACGAACAGAAACTGCATGCCACATGACTGAACCAAAACTGGGTTGTCAGTAAGCTATTTACTTACTAACCCACTTCTTATTGGTGGAGAGATTTGCAAGTTATGTTCTGTCTACCACAGGGTTTTTTGGGGGGTTGGTTGGGTTTTTTTGTTTTTTTTTTTGTACTCACTTTAAGAAAGACTGAATTTTTATTTAGCTTTTATCTGTTCAAATAACATATGAAACAGTTTTTCCCTTTTTATTGCCCTTGCTTTTATTACTATTGGAGTCTATTTTGAGTTGTTTGTGTTAGAAGGCTTTGAGCTGCATCTCAACATACAAGTTTTATTTTAATACTATTAAAAATTAAATGCTTTCAATTATATTTTTATTCAGGTGGCAGAGAAGCTGGGGTGTTGCTCATCGCTGTAGCCAGCTACACAGTCTAGGTCGCTTAGTCCAGCAGAGACCTGAAGTATTAAAGAATGTTAAAGGTATTTTCTGTTGTTTGTTTCATATATTCTAATATACTATTGACTCAAAGATGCTCATGAGTCTTCTGTGACAAGGGAGCTCTAGTTCTATTCACAAATGCTTTTGGTAACTGTAAAAACAAATCTGACCAGCTTGCTGAAAAGCTGGTGAGAGCTTTCATTTTAAGCTACTGGGTATTTTTTCAAGTGACTCAGTTTAAACCACAACATCTTATAGTGTATTTGCTACACTCAGCTTCTATTTTACTACTTAAATGCAAACTGAGCGTGTTGAAGGCACTAGACTTAGTACTAAAAATGAAAATTAAAAAATCTAGACTGAACCTTTTGAAAGGATGGAGGCAGCAAGAGATTATTAGCCATGGTGCATTCAAGACAAAAACATGAGTATCTCTCTAAAGAGTCAGTATAAGGAGGACTTACTAGAATACCTTTAGAATCATACTGTCTTACCATGCATTTTCGATAAAATACCTATATTTTATGTATATATAAGATACATATATATGTACACATATAATACGTAATATATGTGTTCTCTAAACCTGATGTACCATTCTTCTTGTACAGCTGTTTGACCTGTAGCAGTAGCTATTTCATGTAATTATAACTCCATATTTTATTCATGTCTGCAGATAGTAAGTTTTGAGTGGCTTTCATCTGAGGGTTTGTGTAATCCTTTGTCAAAAGACAGAGTGACAATAAATAGTAGTTCTAAATTGTATCAGGTTTCGACTTAGTTTATCTAGCTTTGCTTAGGTAAAGAAGTCTATCTTGTGAAGCTGTTGTAGTCTCCATCTTTGAAGATCTTTAATAGCATACTGGACAAATACCTGCCAGTACTTAAACAGCTGCAGTTGATCTTGCCTTGGGCTGCAAGTGTGGACGTGATTCCTTAAAGTCAGTGTTGCTCTTAAGGATTTTTGAAAACTGATTTCTGAGAGCAGAACTTTTTGTTTAAGTCTTGTCTTGTAGATTAATACATTACACTGAAGACTTTTATGGAAGCTTACTTCGATAAATAGTTACCTCTGCTTTTACCCTAAAGAATTCTTGAGGATCTGTGTACTTCACTTAAAAAAAACTGTAGTCAGACTGATTTATCACCCCAAAAGTCAACCTAGTATGATCCTTTTATGTTGCTTCTATTCTTTCTTTTAAATAAAAGAGCAAAAACCTAATGTGAAAGTGTTTCTTTACAGCTTGCATATTGCAGATTGTTCTGTGAAAGCAGTGTTAAATGGCTCTGTTAATACTGTTTTGACCAACTTTTACCTTGCATATTATTTAAGCATGTGGCATGTATTTCCTACTGTATACAGGATTTGTACCTATTCTTTGAATATGCTGTCTGCTGAGATTCTATTTTTAAAAGAGTCTTTGTAAGAAGAAAGGTCCAGTTAACTAAAAATCTGTCAAGTTTAAGCAGGAAGAAGGCAAATGCTACGTAAGGTTTGTATGAAAAATAAAATAATCTTGGAGTTTTCAAGAATCATTCTGTCAAATTTTGAGAATAAGGAAAGCGCTTACTTGTACATGTTTGTGCTGCAGAATTGTGTTGCTTGTGACATGTTAGTAGCATAGTTAAACCTTAAATAATTATGGGAATAATTACAATAGCCAGATTAGTAAAGAGGTTTGTTCAATCCTTAGGGCGCACAATGGTATTTACAGACCGTTCAGGTATGAGTGCAGCAGGCCACATAATGCTGGGGACCATGGATGTTCACCATCACTGGACCAAAGTAAGGAGATTTTGTAGTAAATGATAATGCCTCTTTTTATGACATCCTTTTTTAAACTATAACCAAAATATTAAATTCTACAGGTGAGTAATCTAAAGCAAACACATAGCTACTGTGTTTAGCATAACTGTCTACACTGTGTTCTAAATTTAATCCTGTGATATGCTAACAACAGTCTTCATCAGATCTTCACTGCTGCTTTTGCTAGCAAAACAGTCGTAACCCTGATTAGATATGAAGAAAACTAATTTGTTACAGTGCTCCAATCTGTGCAGTGAGCACTGGCAGAATATTTCCTGATCTATAAAGAGCTCATTCCTATGAAGACTTTAGGAATTTTATTCAGATTTGTGAACTGATCATTTCAGTGAGTAGCTGCTAACCAACCCTGTCAATCCACTTTGTTGTTTTAGGCAGATAATGTGGATGTTGACAGGCTTTCTGGCATTCTAAATGATAAAAGTACTGTATGCAAATGAGCACAAATAAAATGTTATGATATCAGGATATCACTTAAGGAAATTTTTTTGAATCTTGGTTGCTGAAATATTGATGGTTCTATAAAAAAAAATTTCCTTGTAAGGGACATAATTGGAACCTCATAGTTGGGAATTTCACCCAGTTAGAATATCAGAATATTCTATTTCTGTATTCAGAAACGCTATCTTCCTTGAAGAGAAATTCTTGCCCTTTCTAACCTTTGCCCACAGGTTTTCTGAAGGGGTTGTATCTCCACACAAAGTATTTTGCAGATGGGACAGTGTGTGTAGTTGTGGTGATGGTATTTGCTTTAGAAGACAACCTGAAATCAAAGGCTTTTTATTTTAAAATGCACTGACTATCCTGTTAAATGATACATAGTAAAAGTCAGTGAAAATCTTTGTGAGCTTTTTTAGCTGCTCGATTTTCAGAGAGCAGAATCTTTTGCCTAATTCTAAACCGTTTTAGGCAGCAGTCTTAAGTATTAGTGCTGTTGTTACTAATCATTAGAAAAAGCAGCAGTTGAATAATGTCCAAGTCAGTCTGTAGACTGCTTCTTCAGAGGTAAAATATTTAGAAGAATTTTGCAGTTTTTCTCAATAATAAATGCTAATGCTGAGCCAGTGGATTTTATTGTGCCAAAAGCTGTCCTGTTTAAACTACTCTCTTGGGCTTCTAAAGAGATGATTCACTTGACTTGTTCCAGCAGCAGTAATTTTTGGTATGGAAATCTATGTTATACTAACAACTGGGTAGATGGTAAGTAGTGATTACTACTGCACTTTCCCTTTTCACTGTTCCAGCCCTCTCCCTGTCACACCACCTATGTCTTGACTCACAAGTCTGATCACTTCTTAACTTTTTCTGGTATAGCTTTTTTAGATTAGAGATCTGGTGCCTTCCTTCTTTCTTCCCTCCTTTCAGACTCAAGATGAGATAAGTTATCCAGACCCTTGGAAAGAACTAGTTGCAGCAACAGAATTCTCTTTTGAGAATTTGTATAAATTAGGCTGGCAAAACCACTTTTGACTGTATATGGGGTAGCTGTACCACTATAACTGTGGTGATAAACACTATGTAGGCCTCAAATTGTTATTTCTTGGGGGTTTTTTATAAAGAGCACATCGATCAATCTTGTTACGGCCTTTTAGTGCCTTTATAGTATAAATGCCAAAAATACTTAGGAGCTTATTCCACTATACCTGGCTCAAAGTGTATATACTTTGTATTTCTGATATTTTTTTTTTATCCTTTTGTTTTTATTTCTTTTCTTCCCCTTGGGTTCCCTGTTTACATTGTTAAGTGTCTCTTTCTTTATAGTTTCTTGTTTTAAATTTTTCATTTCTTAATTTTAAGTGTTACACTTTGTAACATAGGAAGTGTGTGTTTGTGTATGTGTGCACAGATTTTTGAGAGATTGCCAAATTATTACAAGCTTCAAAAAAGGCTGCTGTTGTTGGAAGATCGGATAGGCCAGCTTCTGGGAGGCATACAAGTAATATATATTGAAGAACTGCAACCCCTGTTGACTCTAGAAGAGTATTACAAGACTCTGGACTCTTTCTATAATAAATTACGTGACAGTAGACTACCTTTTCATCCTCGCAGTCTGCGAGGCTTGCAGATGATTCTGGAAAGGTAGGTATTTGCAGGGCAGGTTTCTTCCTTTTAGAGCTTTTACTCTTTTTTTTTTTTGGTTGTTGTTTTGTTACACTGATTACTGCTTTTGCTAAGAAGAAAACTAATATAATCTCAGATTTTCATTTTGTCAACATTTTTTCTAAAGGTTTTAAGTGCCTTTTTATGGTTTAAGAAGGAATTGGACTGAAAAAAGTCCTGCTAATTTCATACAAGTTAGAGTCAAAGTTCTTCAGAGTAACACTTCATCGTACAGTGTTGTGCTGTGTTAAATTGAAGGTTTTGTGCTATTAGGTCAGCACTCAGCTCTGTATGATGGTGTTGCTGTTTATATTTTTGGAGTATTGTTGACAGCTTCTTTTGAAATGTAATTTTAAAAAAGCTTTATGTATGATGTTTCTGTATTTTCATGAACCAAACTTGGATTACTTTTACCACTTATTGTGATTAATTTATATTTAACTTCAGAATTAATTCTGAAAGTAATTAATGTAAATACTTTGTTTTAAAAGTTACACCTTGTTTTTATTTCCATCATGTGTCATTAGCGACAGATATGCACCAAGCTTGCATGAATTTGGACACTTTATGATCCCAACGGTCTGTGATCCAGCAACCCTTCAATGGTTTATTTTTGCCAAAGCACAGGAAGCAAGAGAGAATCTGAAAAGAAAGGAGGAGTAAGTGTTCATGTGACACGATACATTTAGCTCATTAAAATCTTTGCACATCATATGTTTTATTTGGAGGAGGAGGAGAACTTTGAAGAATGTATTCATGTTGTTTTGGTAGGAAAAACCCCATCTGTTTATAAAATAGAACTTTACCCAGCAGCTTTACTAAGTAAAAAAGTCAGTGTTCAGCAAACAGTTGTTGGAAAATCCTCATCCTTCACCTTGTAGGAAAGTTGGACTTTATTCAGAAATATAAGATCTTTTCGTACAAGACAATTACAGAATGTGTTTACTGTTACCTCCCCAGAGGAGAGATGGGGTTTTTATTGACTCAGAAAGCAGCAAACTTCTATTAATGTTACTTACATTGTGATGAGAAAGCAGTAAAATAAAAAAAAAAAAAAAAAAAAACAACCATAACTGAGACCAACTAGGGAATTATTATTCCTAGCTGTTTGTCAGTTAGATAAGGAAAAAGGTCAGGTAGCACCTAGCAAGGGAAAGAAAAAGATCTGTGATAGAATAATGAGAGAAACACCTCCTTGGTACTCTTTCACAGATGGAAGTGAGATGAGGGAGTTGATAATAATTGAGACAAAGTACTATAAATAAAGTCCATAGACTACAGTTGTACTCAATGATCTTAAAGGTCTTTTGCAACCTAAATGATTACGTGATTCTGTGACTTGGAATATCCATCAGAACTGTAAATTTTGTTCTTGATTGTGGGTGTTGTGTCTTTGAGAGTTAAAAGCATGAAGCAGAGATACTGTGTTTATTTTTAGTAAAATACTGTAATGGGTGACAGGGTGTTACTGACCTTTTAGAGATTGTTACTGCAAGCTTTTCTGCTTTGGAAATCTTTTACTGAATTGTTGAAATATCACATTGTCATGAGTGTATACATGACATACAGATCCAGGTGGTTTTTTGTGAAGGTTATTTTAGGCATGAGTCTTACTGACTTATGGTTCTAGCTCTTTTAAGACCTTGTTGCTTGGGAGGGTATATTTTGGAAATGGACTTTGGTAAAACATGGAGATTTGGTGGAATTCTTCCATAATGCTTGTCCAGCTTTCAAGTTAGATTATTTTTGCCATATAACTTCTGAATAGCTCTCTGTGTAGCTGAACACATGTGACAGCTGGAAAAGTATTATCTTTAGAGGTTGGGAGGGATGTTGTAGCAAACATACACATTTGAATCTGGGTAACTTGCTCTCCAGAACATCTCGCACTACTCCACATTATAAAGACACTAATCCAGGACAAATGTGGGGCTCCTCTCAGAGAGTAATCAACTGTCTTCTTTTTCTTCCATCTTTAATTATCTATTTTTTGAGCATATTTATGCTTTGTGGCTCCAAAATACCCTGTGGCACCAATTGCACAGTTAAATTACATACAGCTTACATATATAAAGGAGGGAAAAGGTGTTCTGGGTTTTACAGACCCACAACCTGGTTTGTCATTATCTTGTTCTTGTGCTGTAGAAAATACGAAACAGTCATTCTTTATTTATGACCTCTCCTTTTTTATTTTGGTATATATTTCATCTTTCCCCTTAGTTGTCTTTTTCTGAAGCTGAACTCCTTTTTCACTTAATGCTTCCTTGAACCGACCCCATTCTGTACTTCTGATTTTCCTTAGCCTCCTGTGATTGCTTAAGGGGCCCTGAAATAAAAGAAAACATTTTAAGATGTACTGGGTTTAATTTGCACATTCAGATGAATGTTTTACATATGGAATTCCATCTATGCAGTGCTGTTTACTGTATGACCTGATGCACTGGGGAGTTCAGATACTGCTGCTCTAGAAAATGGCATTATCTGCATGGACAGTGTCGGTCTTCTGGTAATGCAGGATTTAGTATGAATTTGCTTCTCCTTCCCTTGTGTTTGTGAAGTATCAGGTTTATGTTGTGATAAAGGTGTAAGCCTTGTAGAGGAGACGAAAATAAACCCTCAGTTCTCACTATGTGCAGCTAACTTTATTCTTCAGGGGAGCCCTAGGTTTTGCAGAACAGGGAAGCTTCATGCTCAGGTATTAGAGAAGTGTTCAGGAGGGTGGCACAGATGCAGTCAGTACAGAGAGCAGGCTTGCTCCAGATAAACTTGTTAGCGTAGGAGCAAACACATAACCACCGGAATGGTTATATGAGGTGCTTTATTGCAGCGCTGGGGAACCAGGGGTACACACCCAAATCTGGTTCCAACCTTGTCACATCGTGTTTGCAATTTATACACATTTAGCACGGATTACAACATTAGCTAATGCATATGCCTTAAGGATTGCCACATCATTGCCACATAAATGTTACAACATCAGCCTCTTCTACGCTTGCTCAGCCCCCTCTGGTGGTCGTCTGGTGGTCGTTCCGATGAAGTAAGGAGTCTTCCTCAGATGAAGTAAGAAGTCTTCCTCAGGTTGTCCTCTTCACCTTTCCCTTACTGGGACATATCCCAGCCCTTGTGTGAACACTAGCATTTTCTTATCTTCCTTTGACTGCTTCTGGTATGCTCTTCTGGCTATCTTATGCATAGGTTCTACTTGGGTATAGTCTCCAGTACATACATTTCTAAATCCACCCATACACCTTTCACCATATATGGTTATATTAGGTTTTTTGCTACTAAGACTACCATTGCAACACTGGTTACAGAGCAGCCGTGATACAAAACTGCAAAGTTACAATATTTTCTAATATATAAAGCCCCAGTATTGATCTATAAATTTTTCAAACATAATCATTTCTACTATTTTATACAATTGTTTATCATAAAAAAACTTTGCCCTTTTCCAACAAACTCACTGGCTCAGTTCATCCCTGCCTGCCAGAACTGGGCTCTTGTACTGTGACCTCAGCAGAGTGTAGTGCCATGCAAGTACACGAGATCCACAGGCTTTGGAAAGAGTGGTGTTGAGCCCCTGCAGTCATGTTATCGCATGAGTCAAACAGTCTCGGTAGCTGTGTCTCTGCTTAGCTTGGGCTGATTCACATCCCAGTGGCCCCACAGACATGCTGCTCCTGTTCCACACAGGGTCTGAATTGTAGGGCAGTGATGGTGCTGTTTCTATAGCCACGCTGGCTCTGGAATTACACCTGTGTGAATGGGGCACAGTGCCTGAGCTAGTTAGGCTTGCTGACTAACCTGAATATGCTAACCAACCTGAAGTGTCTCTCTGCATGAGATTACTTACAGTGACTCTCAATTGATTCTGCACATTATTTCTGAGTAGCTTCTGATTGCTGTGTGGTGTCTTACCACTCTTTGTCTGGGGTGAATGGAAAAAAATCATCTGCAAGTTATGAATTCAGTATTCATAGAATTGTTTAGGTTGGAAAAGACCTTTAAGGTCATTGTGTCCAATTGAATCCATACACTTCTGCAATTAGTAAGTTATTAACACATTTAATATGTATCAGGTGACCTTACATGTCATCTGCTTTTGATCACATAGGGAGTACTGGAGTTAAGACAGAGTTACTAACATGTTCTTACTCTTAAAGCTTACACTTTACTAACATGTTACTAACATGTTCTTACTCTTAAAGCTTACACTTATTGAAGTCCTTTCATCCTTTACATTAAAAATAGATTCTCATAGGATTTTTATCTCAGTATTTTTTCTGGTGAGCAAAGAAATGTCTTGCTGCAGGCTTTCAGATGTGACTCTGTCAGCATGCTGTTGCCCGTAGTCGTGGAAGCCTGTTCAGTCAAGCTTCTGAGGTAGACATGGGTATCAACCTGCACAAAAATCTCAGCTATAACGTAGCTGTCCTTGAAGTGACACCTTTGTTTACATGCATATAACCCACAAATATACTTCTTTCCAGGTGGTGTATTTTTAAGATACTAAGTTCTAATTTTGTCACTGTATGTTGTCTTCGTTTGCTAGGATGATGATTACAGAGAGAGAGTTAACTGATACTTCCACTGAAAGATTTTCTCTGGATCGCCTGTATAAGGAGCCCAGTGTTTCCAGTGCACAGATGATAGATTGCTGTAAGAGGTTGCTAGAAGAATCCCTGCCGTACCTACAAGGCATGCACCTTTGCATTTCTCACTTCTACTCTGTGCTGCAGGATGGAGATCTGTGCATACCTTGGAACTGGAGAAACTGAGGGACATATCTGATAATCAGAGGAATTGCTTATTTTCCATAAGAGGCTATAAATATGAATGTTTTTAAGAGTAAATTATTTAAATCTGTATTTTGATATCAGTATTCAACCCACAAACTTTCTTTGAACTGCTGCTCAAAAAGAATTGGAGTCCTGGACAATTTGCACAATGCTCAGTATTGATAGTTCTGGAAAGACATTTGTACATTCTCCATACTACTGTAGGAATCCCAGTGTATGGTAGCAGCTGTGAAACTGTGGTGGTTTTTTTTTTTAGTGAATGATGATAATACATTAAATTGCAAGTCTGCAAAAGTGTGCATGTGTATGTGTTTTTCAATATCCCAGATAGGTAACCTCAGATGTCTCAAACCAGACATGACATGTTACCTTAAGGTTTCATTGAATGCAGTATCTGGTGGCAACATTGACATTTCATATTGCTGCCTATTCTTGAGTTAGAAAATACAAGGGAAAATACATCTGCTTTGCAGAAGAAAGCTGTACATTAACTTGGTCTCTAGTTTCATGTGCTGGTGCAATATTGTTGCCTGTAACTGCATGCAGTTTATAGGAGATGCCATTGCCTTTGTTTTTCCAGCATTTGCTTCATAAATACAGACAATCCTCTTTACTTACACTAGAACAGATTGCAAATCTCATTCACAACACTTAAGGCCTCGGGAGTTCTATGTGACATCTAAAGAAAGGAAGCATTGATTTGCATGGTGTAGTGCAAGACTAAATAGCTCTCAGTGAGAGCAAAGACTTTGCATATGGTTCTTCGCTGATACTTTATTCCTTGAAAAACTTGAAGTGTGAATGTATGTCAACACTCTTTCATTGTAATACCTGCCAGGATGCATTTCATATTTGGGTTACTGCTTTGCAGAGTATCTTCTGTGGCAAACCAACTGTTTAACATTTCTGAATTTAAATACTTAATTACCTTGTATTTATAGTTGTATTGAGCAGAGAAGTTGTAGTGGTTCTTCTGTTAAAAGGCTCAGCATCAAGTTGCTTATTATGATGCCAGACTTCAAACAAAACAAAACCCACCCCACCCCCCTGTGATCTCAAACATGTCAATTTTAAAACATTGAGACACAAGCTGTGATTTCCTTGGGTCTTAAATTCAACCAAATCACTAATAATTTCTAGATAGGTTCTGAAGATCAGTTGATAGTTTCTTCTAAGTAGTTAACTTCCCTTTCACATTACTTCCCCTTGCTCCATTTAGCATCCATGATACTGTCCATGTCCCAGTTGTGCTAAGCGAGACAGTCCCATCAGCTGTAGCCTGGCAAGATTCCTTCTTACAACCCTTTGAAAGTAGGGTTTAGAACCCTGAAAGCCTTTTGTCATGGCACCTGTGTGTAGTAATGGTTTTCTTGCTTGCTTGAATTGAATTGAATGACCCTTTGCAGATCTTCAGGCAAGAAACAGCTGTTCAGTTTGTACAGGAGATTAAAAACACAAAAAGCCTGAGGGAAGGTGAGTAGACTTGATCGAGAGCCTGATGTGATTCTGTGAGGACTGATGCTAATGTCACAGAAAGCAGTGCCTACACCTAGGAACCTTTACTTTGCAGTGTAGAGAAGACTAGAACTGGCTGGAGAAGATGTAATCCGTAAAGAGCCTTTATGAAGTGGAGCATGGGATGTTTCTGTGAGTAAAACAGGGTGGTGGAGATGCTGACCTGGAATGGGTGTCAGAGTAGCAAGGGCAGGCAAAAGGGAACGGGACTGAGTTTAAATGTGGAAGCAGTGAAAGTTGTTGCTGTTAAAACGTTTTCAGTCTGGGGTAGATCTGAAGATTCTCACTGTTCCTTCTAAGAGGAAGTAGCCAAAACCCTCTGGTACAATGTGTTAGCTCTCCAAGGGTGGCATGGCAGCCTGCTTTTCTGATGGTTTCCTCCAAGCCAGGGGTCTGTGAAATAAGCTGGGTAGTTCAGTCCTGCTCCCATCTCACCAGAGAGGGGATCATCTCTGGTGCCATTTGAGCCGTCCTTGCCTTTTCTGTTAGGTTTGGGATTTAATTTTCCTGAGTTCTACAGGAGATGCATGTCATTATCTCTAGAACTGCTCAGAAGTTGAGCAATACACAAATCAAGGTTGTGTATAGGTCAGTAGGTCGGTGATTCAGCATGGTAAGGTCTGCATCTCAGCGTTTGTGGTGCACTTCTTCTAAATGGATTTTACTGCAGATTGGTTTAGTCGACTTGACAAACATGGACTTCCCAGCACTTTTTGACATACTTAGAAAAGCAGTGAGAAGAAACCCCAAAACAGAAGGATAAACTTCATGTGGATGTTTTAGGTACTTACTTTGACAAGTTTAACTTATTTTGAAGGCAGTCTCAAAAGTTACAGAGTTGTCCCACTTAGGTAGATGTGTATGGGTTAAATGTCAGAATTCTATTTTGCTTTTGACATTTTAATGAGGTGAAGAAAAAAAAAAAGGTTTAGAACCCGGAAAGCCTTTTGTCATGGCAGCAGGGTGGAAACAGACAATGATTTGGTTTTAATAGTTTTAAACTATGCAGAATACCTCCAATTCTGTTCCAGACTGTGCTATCCACTCATTGTGTAAACAGATACAAGTAAGTATTAACATCCACTATAGTTTTATTCAGTACAGAATTCCTGCTTGCTCTGTGGCCAACAACTGAAAACATGCCATGCAGTTTCAAAATCATCCTCCAAATTAAAACCAAATCCTAATACTAAATTAGGTGGAGCTGATGTCTTAGGTTGCTGTTGTTTGGCTTAGATTTGAGGTTTTCTCCTGTTTAGAAATTTGCCACAAATATTGCAAAGGTAAGTATGAGTCTCTGCTAGTGATCAAAAACTCAAAACCTGTGTTGGCCGCCCGTCATGAGTTAATAATCCATGATGCCCAGATCGTGTCATTGAGCCTCTGACAGTGGTTTAGTATTTTAGTGCAGCTGCCAGAAGGAAATTCAATGCTAGTTTCAATACTAAAATAAAAGAGATGGGGACTTAAGACAAAATTTATCACCTGAAGTTATTTTGATACTGTTTAATGCTGTGACCTTGAGATGCATGCATTGGCAAAGAGCAATTTCCATTTGGTCAGGTGCCAGTGTGATGTTCTACAGTATCAGTTGTGTATGAATTCCAGTGTTACAGGCTTCCTGCCAGTGTTCGAACAGCTTGATATATGACTTTTATATGTATATGAAAATTGTATAAACATGTGGAATAAGCCCTTTGTCATTGTTCTTTTGGCTATTAATTGCTGTGATAACAGCCTCAGGGACTAACAGGCTTGTCTTCATGTTTTGTAAGACATTAAAAATGCTGATAACAAATCTTGAGAAAGACTTAAAAAGGGAAAATATTACGTAGGGCTAGAGCTGATGTATCAAAGCACATCCAAAATTCACCAGAACTTTCATGGAGAACATAAATCTCATCACACATACATTACAGCTAAAAAAAATCCCAAAACTTTCTGAGGAAACTGAAATTTTAAAGCTTATTGATTTAAACTTGTCTTTCTGAGAGTATGCAGTATTTGTCTGAATGGGGTTATCCCTGTGATTCCTTGAACATGTGTGTATTGTATATGTATAGTACATAAATATTTCTTTATATGCTTAAAATTATACAGATTAGTAAAAGCCAGAGCTTAGCTGAGAAAGAGAATAGTTGTAAATACTCTAGAACAGTTGATTTAAAAAGTTCAGAGATGGAGATCATGCTTTTTTGTTGCATATAAATACTAGAATAATTTAACTTAAAAATATGAGATTAAAAGCTGGAATCTTGATTTTGTGAATGGAAAAATTATTTAGCTGTCTCCCTGCTAGGCCCTGTTAAAACTACAGCATATACTGAAGTAACAGGAAAATAATCTTGGTTTGCAGTTTGTCCTTTTCAGCTGAATATTCCTTACACGGTTGCTTAAATGTTGAATAATTTAGTGCTGCTTTTTTGCTAAATCCTCCAATGGGGCGCTGTGTGTCCAAGTAGCCAGACTGATTGATGATGATCTCAGTGATGTCTTTAAAACAAAACAGCTTTTGAAGATATTTTCTTTAGTGGAGTTGAAATTCAGTATTTTGTTGCCAGCTTTTATATTCTGCTAGTGTCTTTTCTGTATTCTTCTATTTACATAGTTTTTCCCTATTGTGTGGCTCCATATTTTAGTAAGCTTGAAAGTTTTTTAACCCTTTTGCTTTTTCTCACGTTTATTGAAAGAATAGAGGTTTGAGTTAGCCCCATCTATGCTATGAACTGTGCTAATGACACACCCCACCAAACACACCTTAAACTGAGCTGCTTAACCTCCTTGCACAAATCTCTTGGATTTTGACAGGGAATAAGATTTCAGATGGGTGAGAGTAGCCAAAATTCTTACCAAATATAACAGCTGCAGTGACAACATGAGTTGGTGTTTAACAGCAAGGTTAGATAAAAGAGCAGGGTTATAATTTTCTTCTTCATTTAGTTCCAGCATCCGTACCTAGTTGCTTAGGAGAACATGAGGCAAGCTTAAGAGACCAGTCATCTTTAATCTCTTTGTGATTGTTTCTCTTTAATATCTGCTTTGTCATTTGATTTTTAGATGTTGCAGGGGCATAGCTGAGTAGTCAGCTAATGCCTGTGGTAGCTGCATGCACCTGCTGTCTGTAATGGGATATTCTGGGACCATTGACTAAAAGCAGCAATAGGATGAGAACCTCGTCTCCTCCCTCAAGACTGCTCTGTGATCTCACAGCCACAGTTCAAGATCAAGGCATCTCCTTGATAGTGCTTTGTCAAGTCCACACGTTATTTTACCCATCACTTTGTCATGTTCCTGGGAACCTGTTGTTCTGGGTTGTTTGTTTTTTTTTAATGGGGTGTTTCAGGTTCACTGAGTCATAGTTGTAGACTGAGTTTTTGAATTCTCCTTGTGTTACAGTCCAAGGGAATGGGTAACTGTTTTCAGGTTGTGTTGATTTCAGACAGTCCATCAGGATAGAACTGGTATTACTACACAATCAGACAACACTCAAAAAAAGAACAATTAAGAGTCAATGCAAATCCCTCAATTTCACACTTAATTAAAATTAGTAGAAAGTAGTTACTAAGGAGCACTAGCTTAAATTTTATTTCTCTCGCCAGGTTGCAGCCAGGGCAGTGTTGTACAGAATTTGCATGATCTGGGGCTCACCCTCCTACCAGTGACCTGCAAAGGTGATGTTGGCTTGGAGAGGGAGAGCTACCAAGGGTGAGTCAATGCTGTCTTCATCAGGACTGCTTGCACAGCCCCGGGAGGTCACCCAATCACTGCAGCCTCTGGTGGGG